TGGGCTTCAGGTGTACTGTTATTAGAGTATTTATCTACTTTTTTCCTATACATCTTCTTTTTGCTTTACACAGTAAATACAACAGAAAAAATATGACAGTACAGTACAGAATTTTTTGAGGTTAGGTGTTAGATGTAGATAGTTTAGCTTCCACAACAAAAATCGATATCGTCGCGCTGGTCGCCGTAATGCAAGGTAGTAATTGGTTATAATTTTGAAGTTGCTTTGGGTCGTTTAATGAAACGTTGTATTACGTGGTAGTTAGCATGTACTTACACTCGTAATTTAAAAGTACGTTGCACAACATTGTACTACGTTTGTTATTCTGTAGTACAATAAACATGCCTTCTGGCGACGTAATGACAACGGTATAAAATCCAACTTCTAACAACATTGTGCCCTACAACGTTTACCAACTTTGATAAGGGTCAAAATATACAACTATTTAAGTGCAACGTCGTAGCGACGTTTTGGCTACGTAATTTGAGGTTTGGGTATGCATAGGGTAGGGAAAAGTACCAATTTCAACGTTGCGCGTAATCAAAACTAGACGGAAGTCCGAATTTTGTTACTTGGGTATACAGTGTGTCCCAATATTCGATGGACATAGAACTGCTACGTATTTTTGGAATCAAAATAAGTTTATTAGACACAATTTGCCTCTATACAAAAGTGCTTCGTTTGTCCGCTAGAGGGCATGAAACTTTAAAAAAAACTAATTTTTTCAGATTTTTTTAGATCCGTTATTCCGATCTGAATGAGATTTTGGGTATCTATATTTTGTTAAGTACTTTAACATTTGAGGAGCATTCACGCAAAACTTGATAAGTCCAATTTCACCAAATGAAATCGAAATTATATTACCATAGAAACACTTTTTGATATTTTGGGATTAAATTCAACCATATTTTCATGTTTTTTTTTTATTTTCTCTTAAACGTTATGGAAATTTGGAAAAGTATAAAGGGGCTTAACCATGTCAAAAGAAGCAAAAATTTTTATGAAGAATGCATTTTTCTTAAAAAAGAGCTTAATAACATAGAAATTTTGGTTAAATGTTCAACATTAAATACATTTCTAGAAATAATTTGAGACATAATTTGACTCGCTTTTAGATTTTGAATAACTTTCTTATAACTTTGGAGTAGTAAGTTAATAGACCCTGCTTTGTTACCTTAACTTGTCTACTTCAACTAAATTACATACATGTATTAAACTTTGAACTATATTGTTTCAAAACGACTGTTTCACAGTAGAAAAATATGGCATGAAAATTTGAATATTGCTATTTCATCTAAAATAAATTACACTTTACTTCAAAAGTATAAAACCCAAATAATACTAAACTATAGGAAGGTAGATTGTATAGTATTTCCGATGTCAATTGGGAATTTCTTTGTTCCGAAGTTGCCCACAAAGGCGCCGACAAAGACAGTGCCGAAGTTAAGAGTCCCAATCTATTCCAACTGATTTCTCTGTTGTTATGTTTCATCTTCTTAGAGCTTTATTAAAAGTAACTTAATACTACTTTCTGTTAAATTAAGGTTTCAAATATACCGGGTGCGTCTCAAAAGGGGCTCACCCCTATAACTTTTTTATTTTTTCAGATAAAATATCGATATTTCGTATTTTAGTATATGACATAAATGAGGATTGATTGACGTATTCAATTTTTTTCGGTTACTTATTGTTTTAACGGAAATAACTACAACTATTAATTTTTAAATGGCACCCTCGGTATGTTTTTAATTTATTTGACAGAAAATGACAGTCCGAATAGAATGTGAATAAGAAAGTGACCGAAAACAATTTAATACGTCGATCAATCATAACAATCAATATACTAACATTGTATATTAGTATATGACACAAATTAAATTAAAAAAATATAATTTGGTAATCTCGTTTATTGTATCTGAGTGAGCCACTTTTGAGACGCACCCGGTATAGGTGAAATTATTAACAACACTATTGACAATAATCAAAATAAGTTCTGTTTCAATATTTTAAATAGACATGAGAAAGCCTTGTGTGGAAATTACAGTATACTTCTAGGTTAGTATACATGGTGTCCCTATGAATAGCGATCGGCCGTATCTCGGTAAGTATTAGCCGTAGCGGCTGCGGAAAAAAATATTTATAACTAAAGAGGCTATGGGATATTGCTGGAAATTATTTTCAAGTTTATAGAACGACCACTAGGGGGCGCAACTGCAACAAAAAATAAGAAAATGGAGTTTTTACACAATTATGCCTAGATAAGGTGTACTATAAGTAACAGCTTCATAATCTTCAGTAAATTTTAAATATTTTTTGTTAGAGCCATTTTCCCCTATCTACCACAATAAAGTGGTGGGGGAAGGTTACATCTGTTTTTATTTGAATATTAGTAACTCTGGATGATCGGAATCCAACTGAGCGAGTGCTCGTTTAAAAGAGCGTTTCTTACTCTATATTGTACCATATAAACAATAATAATAAGCTTTTGAACGTAGACGCTAGGGGGCGTTGTCTTACAATTTAACAAACATTGCGCGTTTTTTCAAAAAAATTAAATGCAATAGTATATGTAATTTTAGCTGATAGTAAAGAGTAGTAAAATCTTAAAAAGTCAGCGAAAACCGCATCTTGATATCTTCTTTCAAATCGAAGATATTAGCAAAATTATAATAAATACCAAAAAATAAGCCCTTAATTACCTTATTTTTACAACACGGTATCAGTAGCCCTCTTGATTATGCCCATTCTAACCTAAAAATAAGATAGAAACAGTTAGTTTATTTTAAAATTGACGATATGCCAGAATATCATAATATCAGATGTATTAATATTTAATAATTAAGATATTAATAATAGTGAACAAGAAACGATGATTTAGTGAAGTCATGGTAGGCTTTGGAAAAAAGTTGCTTTTGACGTAATAGTATAAACGTCAAATTGTCATTAGATCAACATTTTGATAGTCTTAGCAGCGTTTTTATCTTTTATTTGGTTTTACAAAATGCCAACAACTTCAAATAATAAAGGCATTTTGAAAAATCATTTAAAAGATAAAAAAAACGCTGCTAAGACTATCAAAATGTTGATCTAATAACAATTTGACGTTTATACTATTACGCGAAAAGCAACTTTTTTCTAAAGCCTGTCAAGGTAGGCTTCACCTAATCATCGTTTCTTGTTCACTATTATTAATATCTTAATTATCAGATATTAATACATCTGGTATTATGGTATTCTGGTATTTCGTCGATTTTAAAATAAACTAACTGTTTCTATCTTATTTTTTTGTTAGAATGGGCCTAATCAAGAGGGCTACTGATACTGTATTGTAAAAATAAGGTAATTAAGGGCTTATTTTTTAGTATTTATTATAATTTTGCTAATATCTTCGGTTTGAAAGAAGATATCAAGATGCGGTTTTCGCAGACATTTTAAGCTTTTACTACTCTTTACTATCAGCTAAAATAACACATACTATCGTATTTAATTTTTTTGAAAAAACTCGCTATGTTTGTTAAATTGTAAGAAAGCGCCCCCTAGCGTCTACGTTCAAAACCTTATTATTATTATTTTTATAGTATAATATAGAGTAAGAAACGCTCTTTTAAACGAACCCTCGTTTGTTTGATTCTGATCATCCAGTCCGCAGTTATCAACATTTAAATAAAGATAGATCTAACCTTCCCCCACCACTTTACTTTAGCAGATAGGGGAAAATGGTTCTAACAAAAAAAATCCAAAATTTACTTAAGATTATCAAGCTATTATTTATAGTACCCATTATCTGGGCAAAATTCTGTAAAAAAATCTATTTTCTTATTTTCCATAGCAATTGCGCCTCCTAGCGGCCGTTTTACAAACTTGAAAATAATTTCCAGCAATTTCTCATAGCCCCTTTAGTTATAGATATTTTTTTTTCGTAAGCCCTACGGCTAATACTTTCCGAGATACAGCCGAGAACTATTCTTAGTGGGACACCCTGTACATACGTTGGTGGTCATTAATGGTAATGATATTGTTGTTTTTCCGAGAAATGTTTTTTTTTCGATACAATATAATGTATATTCCAGTTCTTTTTGTATTACTTAAGGTATCGTTCTTGTGCTCCTTAATTCTACATATAATACAGTATTTATTTTAATTTATTGTGTACAAGTAGTTGTTTAATAAGAGTCTATTACGGCTGTGCTGTTCGGGGCGCTCTCAGGGGCCGGGTAAAGCAGGTGTGTGGCCGAAGGAAATATATATTATATTTCAGAAATCTGCCTAAAGCTTAGCCCGATCCTGTCGTGTTAAGCCACATCCAAAATTTCAAACACACTTGCTTTGATTAAGCCTTGATTAAGGTTTGCAGAGCTTAAGGGTAAGTACCTTTTACTATTAGCTCTAAATACATTTTTAAAAAATTATAAATTTAAACTAGAATTTTTCTTTATTGTTAATAATAAAATTCGTAGTTTCAAGGTAGTTATTTTTTTTTGTTTGTATATTTCAAAAATCTGCCTAAGGCTTAGCCCGTTCCTGTCGTGTTAAGCCACAAAATTCCAAACACACGTGCCTTGATTAAGGCTTGATTAAGCCGATTAAGGTTGTGAATGCTGAAGCTCTGTAATTTGACATAAAATAGCGAGCAATTTGTTACAAAACCATATAAATTATATATCACTGTAATCGCAAAACCTCAATCTATTTCCTTATTGTAACGGAATTTTAAATTTTGTCTTTATTTTCGAGAAAATTTAGTTCAAACATAAGGAATATTTTGTTCATGTTTGACGATCATAATCTTAAAAATAAAGAAGTTGTCTCAAATGTGCTACAATACGGATATAGTATAATCCTTTATCTTTAATTTCCTTCTTCATTTGTGTAAAAATACCTAGCCACTTTTACATAAAACGTTAAATACCGAATGCTTATTTTGCTATTTTTCTGGACTAGTGAAATGGACTCTTAATTTATATTTATACATAATAAAATTTCCTAATAAAAACATTTACCTGTCAAGAGCAATTGCTACAAGATGAAGAATGGACGCCGTACAACAGAGAACATCGCTTGAGGTCCACATATCACAAAGTTCCGGACCCAATGACCATTCTTGGCTGACTTCATAAACCGCTCCTAGGGGCATGACTAAACAAGCCACAAGAAGATCTGCCACTGCCAGAGACAATATGAGGTAATTCGCTACGTTCTGCAAATTTCTTTCCAGTAGGATGGCTGCTATTACAAAAACGTTTCCTGTAACAAAAATATTCTATCAAAATTTTATTTCTCCATATTGTATTGTACGAGGTAACTCAACGATACAGTTACTTGTTTTCACCTAAAACTTCCCAATATGGCGGACTTCAGTATGGGAGGCTTAAAAAACGAAAATCTCTAGACTGGAATCGACTGTAGTTCAAATCGTTCAAATTGATAATCTGTGGTAAATCTAATTGAACTCTGACACTTGGCTGACTGACGTTTACGGTTCCTTTTTCTAAATATTTTCATTATTTTTTGAGTCTTTTTCACAAATTCTACTTGATTTTGTTCTTTTATTTAACCTGCAGCCTGCAGTACTAATTATATACTAATAAATAATCTTTTCACCCATCAAGAACTGTGGAATAGGCTGGAAGATATTCAAAAGTGTAAAACGCTTAAAAACGTATTAGAAAACATTGACTAGTCCACAAATTCGTGAAAATCAATTGGTCCAGATGTTTGGAAAAAGGTCTCTAATTATTTTGAGAAGTTTCCTCGTATCAGTAATATTCAGGTTTGTAATATGTATATGATAATAAATAGATTAAAACTTATATTAATTTCAGGAAACAGCGCGGGAATTACAGATTGTTGTAAATTAGTTTTAAAATATAAAGAAGGTTTAAAACAGGTTTAAAAGTTGAGTTAGTAGAGAAGACCTAAATAAGGTAATGTTGGTAATGGGGGGGACCAAAGATCAAATAACACTTGAAATATATAATATGTACAATTGTAAGTAGTTTTTATGAATCTGTTTAATATCTATTGCATTGTTTTTATATTTCTTGAAATATATATTTTTTTACTTTACAGGATACACAAACAATAATAAAAAATACAGTTACTCACTAAAAGCACTTAAGGTTTGTAATAGATGTAGTTAGAATATCAAACACCAAACCAAACCAAAAATTATGTTTTATTTTACTGGTATTCCTCACATTTAAAAGGAAAGTTATTTCATAAATATGCAGAAGGACATCGTATAGTACACTCTATATTAATAATTTTTTTTCATCCTATACTTGTTAGTTTTTCATCCTATACGTGTTTGACGCATCACTAGGTATAAAATTTAGTACTGATTCCAGACCTATAGTTGTGGTTGTGACATATTCTGATGTGTTTCTGGCAATTTAAAATAAGTTAATATTTAAAGAAATATTTCTGGCTTTCCTGACAGGAGTGTGAACACAAATTTAATAAAGGTATAATGTGGATAATGTTCTGATTATTACAGTTTGCATGGATGACTGTTTTTGTATGTTGTTATTTTTAATAAAGTATATTTAATGAGTTTTTCAGTATTTCTTTTTCCCTCAGAGGATTGTGTTCTAATCTTTATATATAAATTTTCATAAATTATATCTACAAAATTTATTACCTTATAACTTTTTGCTAAAGACTTTGTAGTTGATACAATTTAATAGTATATAAAAGAACTATTTAAATAAGATCACATCAATTCAATTTGTGATTAACTGTACTGAAATAAAAATAAATTAGGAGAAATGGGGTGATCTATAACATGAAACGCATCATCCTATTTCCAAGTCTTCTATTAATTTCACTTATCAAACAACTATTTTTATTCAATAATCTTGATAATTCTAGGAACTCTCAGATATCGTCAAAACATGAAAACAAAAATTCACTTCCTATAGTTCCTACGTCCCTTTAAATGAAATATAAGAAACAGGGGAGTTAATATTCTGACTGAGAAAGTTTATAAAATACCTTTAAGTAAAATCTCTTCGGATCTGCGGTAAAATACCTTTATTCTTATTAAATAATATCAATAATCTATGTTTTTATTTGTGAACTTATTTTTCATTAAAAAAAATTACCAATTTTCGTAACTAGGTCGGCCATATTGAGGAACTTTTAAAAGAATTGTACTATATAATTACGGAAAAATATCAAATGGCAAGGTTCTAGAGAATGTTAATATACACGATTTAAAATTATTTTGACTATACAGGGTAATTCGAAAAAGTGTGGCGGATATAACATGGTTTTTTTAAATGCATCACTGTACCTATTATTTATTCTATCATAAAAAATATAGGGCGAATTTTCAATTAGTAAAAATTTATCAAATTTTGACTAAGTGAAAATACTAAATTTTTATTTTTCATTAAAAAAATATCTTGATTATACAGGGTAGCGCACCTCATTCGCTTCGGTTGATTATACGAAAACGGAAAGATGTAGAAACAAAATATTTTATGGGTATATATTATAGTGTATCAGAACCAAGAATCCATACCAAATTTATACTTTTTCTTATGGAACACCCGGTATTTTATTTCATTTTTGGATACTTGGGCATAAAATAAGACATTTATTATAAGGGTTTAATATGTTTAAATGCTTTGTTTTTTTATATTTAGAGATATTTAAATATATGCATGCTATAATAAAAAAGTTTGTCGACACCCTGTCCATTACTTTTCAGAATTAATTCTTGTGCTGACATTGATGCAGAGCAATAAATTTTGCTAAAAAAAAATTACTGTTTCCTTAAATGTATACAGGGGTATCAAAAAATGCTGGTCTATTTTAAATATTTATTTTACATGAAAACTTCGTTATTTCAAATACAACACTACGTATTTTTTTAAATAAGTCGAAGCAATGCTCTCAATTAAATGCTCTTTCAAACTATATTAGGGTTTCCTATACCTATCTGGCTCAGATTTTGAATAAAAAAGGATTTTTTAATAAAATGGCAGTCAACATGGCTGGTGTCACCATGACAATTTTCTACTGACAGTTAGTAACTATTTTCAAAATCGATATTAGTTTATGGATATTATTATTTAGGGTACTTAGTTAATTTAAATGAACTGTTATAGTTTATTTAAATTTACCCAACAATAGTTTAATAAGTATTTATTATTTTATCAAGAAAAATAAAGAAGTAGACCTGTGATTTATATTACGATGATTTGTAGATGTATTGGATTTTCTATAAAAGAACCAATTAAGGCAAATTCATTTTCTTCTTTTTCAATGACAGGTTTATGCTTAATAGGTTTTTCATATTCCACACTATCAGCTCTGCGAAATAGGAAAAGATAATATAGTTTGAAAGAGCATTAAAATCTGCTTCGACTTATTTAAAAATATACATAGTGTTACATTTGAAATAACGAAGTTCTTAAAATAAATATTTAGATAGCATGCATATTTAAATATCTTTAAATATCTCAAAAACCAAAGCATTTTAACATATTAAACCCTTATAATAAATGCCTTATTTTATGCCCAAGAATTCAAAAATGAAATAAAATACCATAAGTAATCCATAGTGTTCCATAAGAAAAAATATAAATTTGGTATGGATCTTAGTTCTGACACACCCTGTACATTTGAAATTAATTCTAAATTATGCACATTACCTCTCTACATATACCCATAAAAAATTTTGTTTCTACATCTTCCCGTTTTCGTATAATCAACAGAGGCGAATGAGGTGCGCCACCTTGTATTGGTAAACAGGCAACATACACACACACACAATATAGGCAACATTGATGCAGTAATCCAGCGGTTCTCAAAATTAAAAAAAAAACAAATTCTCTTAAATTTTAAAGTAAAAACGACTATTTTAGACTTATTTGAAAAATGGTAAAGAGAAAATATGTTCCTACTAGCGTGCACCAGCGACTTCGTTCGCGTCGAATTAATCATTTGTAATGATGATTATAAAGCAAAGCAAGAATTTCCATTAACATGCAAACTGGATAAAATTTTCTCACATTTATGTCAGCATGAGAAAAAACAATATGGCGATATTATTATATAACTTGGTAATATTTGAGGGGTAGTTTCATCTCGTTGGAATTTGACTTTCGAAAAATCCGTTTGCCAAAAATAAGCTTTTTACGTCAAGCAGTTTAAGCAGAATCGTGGTTAAGAAATTACCTAACTTTTTGAAACACCCTGTATGATTTTTTAAAAAATTTCAAAATATGTAAAAAAACCAAATAAATTATGCTTGTCCAAGCGTTTTCCCGAAAGACTAACCGCTTTTTAAATAACAAATATTGTAATATTTGAGGGACGTTTTCACCCTCTTGGAATTTGAGATTCGAGAAACCCCTCCATATCGAACCTCTACACCCCACAGTCAATCCGTTTGCCAAAAATCAGCTTTAAATGTCAAGCAGTTTAAGCAGAATCGTGATTACTCAATGGTCATCTTTTATGAAACAGCCTGTATAAATTTATAAAAAATCTTAAAATATGTAAAACAACAAAATAAAATATAGGTGTTTAAGAGTTTTTCCGAAAAACTCACCGGTTTTTAAATAAAAAATATTTTAATATTTGAGGGATAGTTTCACCCCCTTAGAATTCGAATTTCGAAAGATCCCTTCTTATCGAACCTCTACACCCTAAAGTGAATCTGTTTTCCAAAAATTAGCTTTTTACGTCAAGCGCTTTAAGTAGGATCGCGATTAATCAATGACCAGATTTTTCGAAACGCCCTGTATACATTTTTAAAAAATCTTAAAATATGTAAAAAAACAAAATAAAATATACGTGTTTAAGCGTTTTTTGGGAAACTTGACCGTTTTTTAAATAAAAAATATAGCAATATTTGAGGGGTGGTGTCACCCTCTTGAAACTGGAATTTCGAAAAATTCCCTCTTATCGAACCTCTACACCCTAGAGTTTACTCCAGCTAAAGTTTACTCCAGCCTAAACAACCATCATTCTACAGCAACAATTTTCTGTGATTTTTCTAAGGCGTTCGATTGTGTAAGTCATAAGATCCTAATTAATAAACTGCAGCACTATGGGTTCAGGGGATCATCTCTCGAATGGTTTAAGTCGTATCTGAGCAACAGAAGTCAACTTGTGAGGGTGGATACCA